GCATTTTCATTATTGTTTGAAGTTGTTTTCGTTTTCAAAGCCAAGCATGACATAAAAAAGAAGAACTAGATTAGTTAAAAATTGCGTTAAAAAGCGATAAATGATGTATATATATATACATACATACATATATATATGCCTATAAACAAGAGCAAAAAAAAATTAAACAAGTTATAATGCAAAATAAAAGTTATTAGGGTGATACGCCTAGATTCGAAAAGCGGCATATTTTGAAACTTGAAAAGTTATTCGTAGAAATTTTAAAAGCTTATTTAAAGTTTCGAGTAAAAGTTTCCAGGTTTTCGAGATTGTTTTTTTCTATTTAAGGCATAACCCTGATGCAAATAAATGTATATGTCTAGTGGATTTACATTTTTTCAAATTGTTTTTAAAATTTATCTGCCCTTTAACACAAATTTTGTTCTAAAGCTTCGGCGCTTAGAGTAAAAAAAAAACCCCGATTCTTTGTGCGGATCACCCCAATGTAGTTGTTTAATGTTAAAAAAAAATAATTTTTTACTACAAATTTTATAACGTCGATAAAACGTAACATATTCAAAAATATGAGGCATATTTTTAGGCGTTATTCTTTTTAATGAGCAGTTCAGGGATGTACGCAAAACATTCCTGGAAAATTACGGTAATTTTTGTTTAGAATATCCAGAGTATCTCAACATGGTGTGTCAGGTATCTGAGGATAATACTCACATATATTTACCAATCTCCATACAAACATGTTTTATAATTTTTAATGCTAGTAAGAAGCCGAACACAAGAAATGCAGAGACGCGCAGTTATTGCAGCGATCTTCAAATAGCCCAATTTTTTTAAGTAGCCCAATCTTTTGTTTAAAAAGCTTGCTGACACAGTGATGTGGGGCTATGTTCAAATCCTTCAGACGTGCCACGTGTCTGGCGAGCTAAGTTTCCACCGACTGTTATGGTTTAGTGGGTTTTGAGCAATGAAGGACGTGTCATGCCACCGCATTTCTTTCCCAAAGGACTTCGCGTAAATGCTATCGCATATGTCGAAGCTTAAGATGCAGTTGAGAAACCCTGAATAGAGAATGTACGTGGTAAGAGGTCATGCGTATTCCAACGGAACTCTGTTCCTTCACACAAGTTTCATGGAGGCACAAGATTAGAAATCCGAGAATTTGCATAATCCCATACCTTCAAAGCTATGACCACCCAGCTCTGCAAATCTTAATCGTTCGGATGACTATGAATGGCGCGTTCTTGAACGGGGCACCAAATAAACATCCACATAGTTGCCCTGATTCTCTAAGAGAAGAAACCATCAGATGAATGGCGCATACGGAACATTCGATCCGGGCCCGCAAACAATTCTGGCAGACTATTGATGCTGCTATTGCCGCTGGAGGCGATTTCAATAAATAACCATAAAGCCTATAAGTCACTAAATTGTCTAAGGAAAAGTCGGTAATATCCACAAACAACCACATGGTCAAGTCTTAAAACCAACGAAATAGTTAGTTGCCCTTGATGGTAGTTGGGTTCGCAAATGAAAAAGTGAAAAATGCAGCAACAGTTTACATGGCGAACTTAGCTCCATGGGTAAACCGCAAGCTCTGTAAACTGGAGTTGCCGGTTCGAATCCCAGTGAACTCGATGAAGAAGTCTGTTCAGGATATGTGTGAGATGATCTCCGAAATAGCAGCTATAACTTCCTTCATTTATTAACTACTTTTTGTTATTTTTCGCACTAATTTTTCATTAAAAGCAACTTGAAGCTCAATAAAATAATTGAACAATAGTATTAAAATGTTTGAAAATAGTGTTTAATCAATTGTGCTTTGACAAATTCTCATCTACTTATGTATTTGAAAATTTAGCTGCTGGAATAAGGTGCAATAAAGCCCAGAAAGACACTGCTCCTAGAAGTGCCTGAAATTTAGAAAACTTTGCAAGGGACACATCAAAAGTCATCTTTCATATAACAAGTTCCTCAGTGGTGCTAAAATTAGCTTAAGGTTCAAGGACAATTCATACATTTTCATAGTTTTTATGAGGCTTCTCAAGTAAGGCGCGATCTTAGGTCGAATGAGCCTTTTGTGATACCGTTTTTGGCTTGCTTAGATGTTGAAACACAAGCAAAGAGTTTGACGTATAAAGTGCAAAAACAATTTTTTACTTTTCTCAGACAGGGAAATATCAGTGAAAGTGTGCACGTCATGACAGCTGCGACAATAACTGCTATATTTGTCGGAGAGGTCATTCTATAGCCACAAGAGAGGGTCTTGTTTTAATAATTCCCAACTCCAGCCGACCTCAGTACATCCATCTCGGATCTTCCATTATCAAGCCTAGACAAAATTTCAAGTAGTTTCATTATACATACATATGTAAATATCCGCTCCAATCTATTGGCTGGGATCAAAACTCAGATGTTTTTATTGCTGTTATTGTTGTTCAGCTTGAAAGTCGCTACTGTGGTTGTATGGGCTTGTCAGAATGGGTACTTCTCTCTCCGAAGGCGGTAACTTAGGCGCACCCCACGATGCAACAAATCAGCTGTTCACTACTCAAATAAATAAATAAATAAATGTTGTTGTACCACGCTTACAGCACGTAAAACATAAAGAGAAGAGTGATTTCCGTCCGTTGCGAAAACTCATGCGTCAGCTATCAAAAGTCACACAATATACTCAACTGCCCAGTTGCCCACGTTTGCACCAAGGAGGCAACATGTCTTTTCTGGCGGCCATCTAACCGCCGAAACGGCTTGGTTCGAAGGCAGCGTCTGTAGTTTTATTTCAAGCCAGTTTCAATTTTCATGTGAATGAATTGATGACACATCCCTCAGGCTGGCTCATGCTCAGTTTGGGTCTGAAACTATCTACATATTTGTATTACAGTTAGATTTGCACAAATAACTGATTTTAGGGCTCAGATTGGGGAACAGAACCCAAGCATGGCTACGATTTATTCAGCGGGTGTCTACCGCATCGAGGACCTGGACAGTTTAGGTTACAGTTTCTTTAGAAGGCTTGTTCGGATCCACCAAAACATCAGGTTGTTGTAATGGCATGAAGGAATAAGAACAAATGCTGGTCGGTACTGTCTTCAATAAGGGCTATGATTTCTCTCTTTGCAAAATATTATCAGAATTTACCATTTTAAAGCGCTAATCGACAGAGAGAGCTTTTACAATATACCAGTGGTCGGCATACCAGCTGGCGCTCTTCGCATATGTGTGACACACACATATGCTCAGACAGCGCTCAGTGAACTATGGCCTGTCGACCACTGTACTATGTATACATATGCACGTACCTAAATAACAAGCTCTATTCACGTTCCTAAGCAGTGGGCGACGATTTTTCATTGAATAAAGTTTCGTCACGAACAAAACATGTTTGGCGTTTGCAATTCTCTGCCAGCCTAAGCGACTTCAAACATAAAGTGGTAGGTCAGGTGTAGGGCAACATAACTCCGTAGGGGAAAGTAATGCCGCATTGTCTTTTAATGGACTCTGTATAAATACATATTAGCCGATTTTTTCGTTATTAAGATAAAGTATTTTTAAAAAGAATTTATTTATTTCCAACCACTTTGTTTAGTATTTTCTTTTTACGTTTGTATTTGGAATTTTTTTTTCTTAGTTTGAGATTATGCTTAAATTAGCATCTCTGTTGGACACAAACAGTGAAACTAATGCCGGATTTCTACTAGGCATTAAATTTAAATGACAAAGTTGGGCATTGAAAAATACCTGCGCCACTATGCTATGAAAAATTTTCACTAAATTCGTTTCCACAAGGCATTTATCAAATAGCACACATTTTTCGCCATTTCAATGCCTAATGGAAATTCGGCATAAGTTGTGATAAAAAAAAAACGTGTAAGATTCAGAATTTTTTGGTATTTCTAATGCCGAATTTCCTCCACTAGGCATTAAAATGAGAAAAAATTAGAAGCATTTTAAAATTGCCATGCGGAAATGAATTGAATGACTATTTTTCTAATGCAAAGCCAAAAATATTCCTTAATGCACAATGCAATGCAATTTGTCATTAAAATGTTTGCCAGTTAATGCCTAGTGGAAATCCAGCATTAGTTTAGCTATGATGCTACTATCTATCTGTCTCAAAGATTTCAGTTAAATTTGTAGTAATTTTTCAATGGAGTTTGAAACTGATGTTAATTTTTTATAAGTTGCTACTAAATTCTCGAATTGAGTCGGCATTTTATTGACGAGAGTTTCATCGTTTATTTAATTTTCCAGTCTAAATTATAAATATAACCCAAAGCCTGGTAAGGATTTTGGTGCCAATTTTCAATGTTGCATTTTTCAGAATTGCAGAGTTTGTAGCTGAAAAAGGTTTCGTTCACAAAAAAAATTAGCTAAGGCTAAATTTTTCACTAATTTTTAATCAAGGCGAATTCATATAAGGTGGTGTTGTCGGCGAAGTTAGATTTTCGTTACAGTTGTACTGATTGTCAAAATGAAGTGTTTGTTGTAAATTTGTTTTGTTCTGATGTCATTGATTGTATAATTTTTTAGTGTAATTCTTTGTTTTTGGGCTGACCCTACTACCTTGTATGAATTCGCCTTAATTTTTACTCATAGCGTGAGCTTTTCAATTAAATATTTGAACTGATCAAATAAGATTCGAGCTAAAGCTCACTGAGTACAACTTTAAAGCTTTTTCCTACAAAATCGTTCAAGTCCATCTGCTCTCTGAATTATAAAGTGACTTTTCTTGCGTCTTTTGATCAATGATAAGAAAAGAATAACATAAAATTTTTAAAACAGATAAAAGATATCAAGAAAAATATCCAAATATCGGTAAAAAAAAATTTCATCTGAGATATTGAAATGGTTTTCGTATAACAAAAACTTAACGGTTGACGAGTTCGCCTTCGTATAAAAATTGTCGGTATAACATAAATAAAATAGATAACTAAAAAATAATAACGAATTCAGATATTCATCTCATTTGTTTTGCTTAGTATGTGTGCATACATGGTTCTCGATTATAGCTTATAATTGAAATCATTACTCACCAAGTTGTCAAAGCGCAACGCATCCTCATCGCTCAAACCCATGCTGCGCGTCAATTGCAAATATGTCGAGGTGATCGGTTTTAAGCGCTCCAAATCCAGCGGCGGCAAACGCGATGACGAGCTGCGCAAACTCGCCGCCGTATCCGAGCTAGTATCTGCGGCGCCACCAGATGTTACTGCGGCTTTCACTTCGGAGAGCGCCGTTGACAAGCTGCTTTTGAGCGACGAGCGAGCAGTAGGTGTAGATGTGATGAGCTGTGAAAGCGCTGACGACGACAAGGTAAGCGGTGTGGTTGGTATAACCAGCGGTGTTAGTGTGGCGAGTGCTGGTTTTGCGTGCGACGTTGATGCGCCATTTGTGCGCGAGGAGGACCTGCAAGTAGAAGATGTGGAAAGATTAATTGCACTGAGCTGTGTAGGCGGTGGGGAGAGTGATGGCAGCACAGCAGCAGCGACAGCGGCATCGACATCTATTTCCAGCTCAGCAGCAACAGCCGTGGAGGTAGCTGTGGAGGCAGCCTCCTGAGGCACAACCTCAGCCACTTCTCGAGTTGAGGATTCTATTGTGGAAGCGCGCGGTCGAAAACCCCGCTGACTTTCTGGTGAACTCTTAAACTTTTTCACGAGTGGCTCTTCGGCTGGCACATCCTCAGTACGAACAGATGAACTTTCAATATTTGCAGCCAAACGTTCTTGCTTGGGCGCTGTAGCAGCAGAGAGCTGCTTAGCATAACTTGTGGCTGTCGAAATACCACCAGCTGCTGCCAATGGGCCCACGCCTGCTGAGACTACCGAACGCTGAGCTGAGGTCACCATTTCAGCGCCACCAAACTCAGCGGGCAATGGCGGTATCGGCAGCGGAAAGCCGCCAGCATAGAAGCGACGCATCATTTCGTAGTAACGAAAGAAACTCTCGTGCGTCTTTAAGAAGTTCATATCGAAACAAAGGGGATGATAGCCGAGATAGGGAGGCGGCGCATGCGTAACCGGTTCGCGCACCACCAGTGTCGACGGCGACGGCAAGGCGGACGTAGCCGACACCGGAGGCGGAGTCAATGGGCGCTGCAGCTGTGGATTGACGCGTATTTTTGGTCGCTCTGCGGTTGTTGTTGATGTTGGTGACGGTAATGGCAACGGCGATGGCAACGGCGATGTTGACTCGGACACCAAATCAATGGTAATGGTTGGTGCTGCGGCCGTCGAGGTTGCTGCCACGGCCGTGTCTGTGGAGCTGGATCTGGGATGCGATGGTGGCACTGCGCTGCGCTGCCGTTTCGGAGCCGTTAGCAGCGTGCGCGCTAGCGACTGGGAGGCTGGCGTGAATTTAGTATCGCTTGTCGTTTCCTCGAGCTGAGAGTAGCGACGCTTGATAGGCATGCCAATGGTGCCACGGGTAGACGATTTGAGTGCGCTGCTAGTGCTGGGCATTGCAACGTTGCTGGAGGTAGATTTTGTTAGTACAGCTTTTGTAGGTCCTGCTTCCAAGGAGCTTTCGGTATGCGATGAATAGGTGAGTCCCTCCACCTCGGATGAGCTTTCATTGCCAGCCTCGTCCATTGGGTTCAAGGAGGTGACCGGTGAACCTGCGCGTAAATTCTTCTTACACTCCGGGCAGATGGAGAGGAAACGAGTGACAGCTTCGCGCGGCAGGAAAGCATATGTTTCCGTAATCTAGAATATGAAGCAATGGAAAACGAAACATATTAATGCAAATTTGAAATTTCTTTTTTTAAGTCTCGTTCGATAAATGTGTTTCGATTTTACACTCACTATGCGATATGTGCGCTTTTGGCCAGCATGCATGCCACTGCGTCCGCCTAGCTCCATGTGCACGTTGTATATGATGTCGAAGAACTCCTCCACAACGGCCACCTTGCGGTAGGTGCGTTTGCCGAAGTCCTGAAACGGAAAGGGTTACAGGATCGAAATTGGTATACTTTCGCAATTTACTCATTCCAACTCCTACCTTTGTAGTTGAACCTACAAACAAGTCAACTTTACTGGGATTATCAGAGAGCACTGCGTTTGGAGGTAGTGGTTCCAGCTTTCGATGCCCACCCACAGCTTCCTCGAAATCCTCCGGCCGTTTGGTCGTGAAAGCTGTAATAAATGTAAGTTAAAATAGCACTATTGGAGTTCTCGAAACTTTTACCCAGTTACCCTTCATTTTTTCTTCAAATTATTACCTTTTGTTTTCACCCAAAAACGAAATTTTGAACTATCTGGCCGACTGTGTTCTTTACCCTCCAACGCTTTGAGGATGCGCGTCTTTTTACGCATCGTAATGGTTTTAGTCTTTGCTTGATCGCCATAATTCTTCAATGCCCAAGGTTGAAAAAGCTGTAAAAGCACAAAAGCTCATCTCAATAACGTCGTGCTCCTTTTCAAGCCTCACTCACGCTTACCTCATAAATATGCTGCCGTTCGGCTTGGCGGCGCTGCTTCGAGCTGAATGTCAACTCCCCTGCATGGGCCAACGGTAGTGAAGCAGCTGCTTCCACCGCGGGCGCATGCTTGTGACTAACACTAGCGACAATAGGCATATCAGCATCATCAACATCCGCTTCGTAAGCTGCCTCCGAAGCAGAAGCCGAGACAGCACCTAAAGTTTCTTCCTCAGCCACGAAATGTGACGTTGGTGTTTGATGCTGCTCTTGCTGCTGTTTCGCAGGTTGCGTATCTAGCAAATGTTGATGTTGTTGTTTACTCAATTGTTGCTGCGCATCTGGCGGCGGTTCTTCTTGCTCATACATATGAGCCTTTTCTTCCTGGGCATCGGCGGGCGATCGCTCTCGCGACTTTTCCATTTTGTCTTAATTTTTAGACGCCGTTTGAAAAATTGTGTTTCTTGGAAATTGATCGAATGCCTGTTGGTTTTAGAGTATTTCTTCGTAGAACTAATTATAATAATTTCTTGCTAATATGCCAATACTAAAACCATTTTAATGTGAGCATCAAGCGTTTGGTGTTTTTTTTTTTTTTTGGTATATGGAAGTTTTTTGGTGAGCTTGATCATGAACTGCAAAGCTTAAGATGTGCTGTGATCTGAAATGAAATTGCATACTTATTTTAATTGAAAAAAGAAGTAGTCAAAGAGGGCTATTTCATTCATTGGATCTAAAACGGTTTCAACTAGATCCCTGTCTGATAGAAAATAACCATTAGGATAAAAATTATTAAAATCTATTTGGTGATTTCGTTTCACCGAACACAAAATTTTCTCAAGCCTTCTAATTTATTTTAGAACCGAAGAGAGAAGTAAGCAATCAAAAGGCGACATTTTTTTTGGTAGAAATCACTATAAAAAATAAATGAGATCATCGCCCACTACCTCAGTCTAAATTAGAGGCAATGGAATGGTTGGTGGCCGGAAAATCAAAAAATAATAAAAGCCAAGTAATCATACACAGTGGGTTGTTGTTGTTGTAGCGGCTACAAGTTCAACTAACAGGAGACCCAAGAAGCGTGCAGCCTCTATAGGGTCTGGTTACAGGGACAGAGGCGTTAGTTGTGTTGGGTTTTCCGGGCATACGAAGGGATGATTCGAGTCGTGGGGTGTCTCTCCGCATGCCGGAATTCGTTTGGCACATCTGCATCTAATGCGCTCAGGTATGAGTTCAACCTGTTGCAATAGCCATAGCGAAGTTGTGCTATTGTGGTTCGTGTATCCCGAAGCAGACGAAGCTCCGTCTCGTCTATGTCTCGTGGTTGAGTGCCCAGAACGGCATTCACAAGTCTGGAGTCTACGTAACTTGAGACTTACTCTTCCTTCGTCTAGGTTGTAAATAACGTCGCAGAGGATTTTGTAGGGGATAGGATTAGACTCCTCGCAGCGAAGAAGCGAGAAAGCTCGGAGAGATACTCGTTTATATATCGAGCACTCACCTAATTGCATTCCCAGACGCCATTATCGAACAATCATCAGCGTAAGAGACAATCGAGACTACCTCTGGTGGTTGAGGGAGCTTGGAAATGTAAAAGTTAAACAGTAGTAGGCAAAGGACACCACCCAATGGAACCTCCTGTGTGTCATCGGATCCGCATGGAGTGTGGACCGTAATCAGTCATATCTAATCTCTTTGAATTAGAATTTCTCCCCAAGCTTGTCTGGATTTTTCAATAAACACGTGGTTGGTTGTTTTCAGCTGTCGGCATGGCACCAACAGCCCTCATGACCTTATCCATGATATGCCAAGGTATCTGAGAGCTCCCGCTATACTTGGCTCCGGTCAAATTCGACAATACAAAGCACCGCAGTTCGCTAATTCATCCTTTAACACCACAGTATCCCGTTTCAAGCTCATTCCATTTTGCAATGAAATTCAGCCGCAACATACGATTGTGAACTATTTTTAGTTTTCTTTGTTTTGAAAGATTTTAGAGCGCTGCAAAAAGTGATTTAATGTCCACGGCACCTTTCGATAATAATCCCGGCTGAATTTTCAGAGTGGATGAATCAATAATATGAGAGATATTATCATTTTAATTTTAATATTTTTTGGAGTCCTATTCACTATTAGCATCATCATCACCATTGGCATTGTCATCCCATCATACATCATCATCACAATCATTATATGATGATGATCATCATCATTATCAATCGCCGTCCATCATCACTATCATCATAATCATCGGCATCGTCTTATCAATATGATCAAAATTATCCGCTGCAGGTACACCTCGGTGTCGTTCCTCGATTTCCTCAAATTAATGCTCCTGCTACTTAATCTTATCACTCTAGCGAAGTTTTTGCATTCCTTTGATTCTAACGCGTCAGCATTTAATCTGCCATGAATACATATCTACTTTGGAAAATATTTTTCCCCGTGTTTATAATAAAGTCAACCTGTCCTAAACTGTTGACTTTAACTGTTGTAACGTGTATCGTTGTGCAAGTAAAACTTCCTGAATTGCAAAGCTCGTTGTAGCATACCAGTGTTAACAAAATTCTAATCTGATTAACGACTAAAAATTAACGATTAAAATGTTAACCGAGATTAACGATTAAAATAAATTAATCGTAATCAGCCGTACGATTAATGATGAAATTTTTTTTTTAATCGTTAATCGTCGGTTGTGATTACGATTAATTAATTTTAATCATTAATCGTTAATCCAATTTAAAAAAAAAATATGTGGCCTAGTTTGTCCGAATTTGAAACCAAACACGGGTTATGGTTTTTTTTTTTGTTTTTCACGCTTATAAAAAATGCATAGTCTATAAAAATAATAATTATTATTGTTATTAGTAATACATAAACTGGGAATTTTTATATCCCATCGCACATGCGCAGAGGGATATTAAAACCTAGTTTGCTTAGCGTCTGTTAAAATAGATCTTAATGAAAATGCACACCAAATTGCTTAGCTTTATGAGGAAAACCGACTTTGCCAAGCCCGATTAACGGAGCTTGTTTGCACAGTAAAATCCCAGCATAAATTAACTAATCACCAAACCGACTTAATCAAATTGAGGGTTAATGATTAAAACTTAATTTTTTTAAGCGCGGCTACGATTAACTGTGTAATCAGATTAAAACTAATCACGATTAACTGTAATCGGAATGAATTTAATCGAATTAACTATTTGATTAAAAAATCAACCTATTAATGCCAACACTGCTACATACCCGGCCCTCACTAATGGCACTAATAATTATGTGCGTCACTTTTCGTTCAAAGATCGGTGGAGGGACACTGCCAAGCCAACGGAACTGCTGTATTTTAATCAGCTGTTCTATGGACATCAGCGTTTTAAAACTTATTATATTAAAGGGCTTCCGCCAATTATTTCGGACAAATATTACAATTTACGTGAGCTGGAACGTTTTGAAAACACCTCCGAAATTCGCGCTTTTTATAAAAAAAAAAAAATTAATTAAAAACAAGTAAGAAAGTCTAAGTTCGGGCGGAGCCGAACATTAAATACCCGGCGTAAGTATTAAATATATGATTTTCACCTTTGCGAAAGCTACCGCTACATGGCAAGCCGGGGTGTATAAATTCTGAGTAAATTAGCGTCCTTCAATTTCGAAATATTGAAGTTTCAAGCATTTCTGGCAATTTTTGGCCATTTGGTATGTTATGCGAAGGCCAACAACTGTGCCAAGTTTGGAAGAAATTGGTGCAGCGGTTACCAAGATATACACATGTAACCATAAGTGAGCGTGGCTACGCCCATTTTCCAAAAATTTATAATATTCTTATTTTTCGTCTAAAACTTATTATAAATATCAATTTTGAGTGAATAATCTCCAGTAGTTACTAAAATATCGCAGTTTTCGTATTTCTGAAAATTACCGTTATATGGGAAGTAGGCGTGGTTATTATCCGATTTCGCCCATTTTCAATACCGTCCGTCCCACGCCCAAAGAAGAAGAAGAAGTACACGTACCAAGTTTCGTTAAGATATCTTAATTTTTACTCGAGTTATCGTGTGCACAGGCGGACGGACAGACGGACGGACAGACGGATGGACGGACGGACGGACGGACAGACAGTCACCGCTTAATCGATTTCTCTTTTCATTCTGATCATTTATGCGTACAATTGTCTATATCTATCTCGATTCGTTTTGCCTGTTACAAACAACCGTTATGTGAACAAAGTTATAATACCCTTGTGCACAAGTGCGCTCGGGTATAAAAATAAATTCAAAAAATTGCCTCTGTTGATAGACTCTTGTATGCTTTAAAGGTCTGTGTAAAAATCTTCACACAATCAACGGAATCGAAATAAAGACATTTTTGGCGGTTTTTTGAAAACTCGCGTTTAGTTTAAAAATAGAAGAGCATAAAACACTTAAAAAAATGTATCAACGGAATCAAAATATTCAGATTTTTGGAGGCATTTTCGAATCCACGTAAATTTTAATAAAACTAGTTTACATACAGCAAAAATGTTCTATCCACTATAGCCACTATGTAGAATTTTTCGGTGATTCCGAAAATCGAGTAAATTTTTTTTCTATGGATATGTTTATGAATTATTTGCAATTTACCGTTATTCAGCTTAAAAAACGAGTGGTTCCACTTAATCATATTAGTCTTACGAACCAATTGAACAATCGTAATACTAAATACAGCAAATGAAATCCAATGAAATTCTATGTACATCACTTTTCGATAGGCCTGATAGTTTTTGAGAAATTAATTTACAAAAAAATAACATAAATAAATAAATACAAAACAATCGTTATTTTTTCCCCTCACTTAACGTTTGAATTTTTAAAATTTTTTCCATCCAAAAAAAATCTGTAGTTGATTACTAATTTCTCAGAAACTATCAGGCCTATCTAAAAGTGATGTATATACGGTTTATGGAGAATTTCATTGGCTTTCATTTGACGTTCAATTGGTTGTTCAATTGGTTCGTAAGGCTAAAAACATAGTGGTTCGGCGAGCAAAGCGTCGATTCCAAACGTATATGTTTCAATGAGAGAGCGCATAGTGAAGAGCAAAGCGTACATACACGTTTTCAATTGAAGCTTAGAAGCTTAGCCTAAGATATACGTGATCGATTGCAGTGAATAGGTCTATACTAAATAAATAACATAACTAAGTATTTGGCGCTTACACATTTGCGCTTGGTCTCGGGGTCTATACTAATATCAGTAATAACAAAAAAATATAATATTGGTTTCTTCTATTTGGGAACGATGCTTTGGGACACCATGTTTGTAAATAGAGATAATGATGCTGTCTCTATCTTCCCTTTTTTAAGTTCGCTTAAAACGAATAAGCTGAGGTCAGTAAACTGTAACAATAAACGGTCTCAAGTTGCTTAATGCTGAATAAAAAATTAAGAGTTATTAATAAAAAAAAAAACTTGTATTATAATGAAATTTTCTATGAAAATGCTTCAAAGATCCATGAGTTGATAAATATATATTCAAATAGACAATGAGGTTGTTCACACTTGCCTGGACATCAGGTTATATGGTTAAAAATTATTA